GAAACCCCCCCAGGGATGGGGACTCCCCCCTCCCTGGGCAGCCTGTTCCACTCTCGGACCACTCTTACTGTGAAAATTTTTCTTCCTAACGTCCCCTCGGGGCCCATCCCTTGGCCCCGAGGGTTCTTCTCGCCCTCCGAGGTCCCACCACTGCTTTGCTGCTGAGCAGATGGGCAGCACACATCATCGGGAATGATGTGACCTTCCGGAGGGCATCTCAACTACCCTGGGCCAAAGCAAATTCAGAGCAACGTTCCATTTCAGCATGTTCCTTCCCCAGAGCCATGTTGCTTCTTCCTCCCCGCAGCTGCAGGCAGTGACGGGGCTGACCAGCTCCTTCCCCCAACCAGCTCCACCATCAGTCCTGGCCTGACTCCACAACACCTTCACCCCCCCAAGCCCAAAGAAATCCCTGTTCCTTTTTCCACTGAGCCTTGCCTCAGAACCAAGCTCTATCAAGACATGCAAGAGAGAAGCCCTCGTGGCCTCAAGTACTTCAGCTAGGAAAGTTTAGCACTCAGAGGAAAGGTTTTGTACCCCGAGTAGCTTCTTTGCTGATGGAGATCAAGGAGTGTGTCTGATTCCTGCTGCCACGGTGGAGATGCTGCAGCTGCACAAAAGCCCAGACCCCTCCACAGCTGGGGAGGGACAGGAACAAGTAAAGGCAACTGCAGCAGGGAGGGCTTTGGGGAATTTGGAGCTGGGCTAACTGTGCACAGGTAACAACTCCACAAGACAAGTTCCCTGTCGCAGACACCAAAGGCCACTCGCTGTTGTTGCTCCTCGTCCAAGGCAGCAGCCAGCAAGCAACTGCAAGTCACTGCAGAAAAACACCAGAGCCAGGAACCACGACTCCTCTGCTACACTCACTGTCCCCTTACCCACAGGATCCCAGTGCTGCAAAGTCCTGAATTTTAGTCTCCACTGCTCAAGCTCTGGCAGGCCGGTGTTTCCACAGCCAGCAGAGCTTCTCCCCGGAAGGCTCATGGCTTTAACCTTTCCCCCTTGCCATGCGGCTGTGAGGTCTTAAGGAAAGAAAGTGAATGAAAATGGTATTTTAAAGGGGGAGAGAGGAGGTAATGACAATTAGGGTTTTCCTTTGCCCAGCCTAGGAAACTCCAGGTGCCCACCATCCCTCCCTGCCATCGGCCTGGCAGCCCACGGAGCAAAATCAAGGTCCTTTCCGGCCCCCATGCAGCGAGGTCCAAGGTCCAACCCCGCAGTGTTACCATGCATCCCCTGCCCTCCCCAACACCAAGCCCCTGCTGAAAAACTGAAAAGGCCAAGCCCCCACCATGCCACCCACCCAACAGACCAGCTCGGCCAAGGGGAAGTGTTGGATTGAAGCTCTCATCACGCTGCAGCTGGAGGCATTTCCACCCTCCCCAGAAGCTGTGTTGACGGGGATGGATGCGGAGGTAAGACTCCCCGGCTCGCTGCCACGCGGCAGGGAAGGCAGGATAAGCCCCCGCAGGGGACTGCAACAGCATTTCCTGGACGTCAGGAAGCAGAAGCAATAGCTGCTTTGTGAGTACAGAAAAAACCCTTTTCTGCTGGGCTGAGCTCTTGTTTTGGAGGGACTGACCACCCTGCTGCTTCCCCGCTGAACTACCACATCTCCCTGCAAGCCTGTGCCCACCCACACACCGTCACAGTCAGACACGGTGATGGTCACCAAGCCAGTGCGCAAATATTTTGTTGCACGGCCTCATCCTGCTGACAGCGCTGGGCTTTGGGCTCCCAAAAAATGAGGCAGGACAGAGAGCTGCCAGGACCAGGTCACGGGAGGGAGAGGTGAAGACCAAGAGCATCCTGCCCAGGCAAGGCCAAGGGCACAGGGGTTTTTTGGATGCAGAAAGGTGCCGCATCTGGAGACGCCCGTCAGGCTCAGCAGGGCAGTTAAAGGCACGGGTGAAAAATAAAAGCACTACACAGCTCAAGTGGAAAGGGAGGAATGATGCTGGGCACTGCTGCTTGGCTTCCCAACCCCAGGCCTTGAGGCTGGCTGAGCATGGGACAAGCCTTGTGATGCCCAAAAAGGCCAGGAGAGCTCTCAAGCTGCTCTTGTGCAACTCGCAAGAGTTGATTTTTCTCTTGGGCAAAACAACGAAATGACCGAGACATTACATCCCTGGACACCGGCTGACAGCTTGTTCCTGGAGAAGAATCCAAGTTTGACAGAACATTTTCCATCAAGCTGAAAACAAGTATAAAAATCAAAGCCGGTAAAGTTTCCATACAACAAAAATCAGCAGGAAAACGAGAGCAAGGTCAACATGCTGACAATCAAGGCTGTTGTTTAAGCAGGGTCCCATTCCAACTGGCAGCTGTTTTGTGCCCAGACGCAAGGACTAAAGGTGGGGTCCTAAAAAACAGCATATGGCACAGGCTCAACTCACACATCCCTGGCGCAGGGGCCAGTGGTTATCTCTGCTGCCCAGGCCTGGGCACGTTCTGCGGTGCAGTCCCGGCGCACGAGGAGCCTGTTTGTTTTGCTATTTTTTAATCCGGGACTAAAATTTTCTCATAAACAAAGTTGTTTGCAGTGGGGCTGAACCAAGCATCACAAGTTGGCTGGAAGATGAGGCAGCTTGCAGAGCCAGAACCTCTGGGGCTCCCCCCCAACCCTTCTCCCACCTGGCTGGACAAGCTCCAGCACTCAGGACGCCCTTTGAAAATCAACTGCAGCCCCTTCCACACCGCAGAGCTGCCACCCCCCCTCCAGACACCTTCCAGCTCAGGGGTTCAAGCAAGCGGAGATGCTCGGGGCGCAGGGTGAGAGCTCTCTGTCACGTTTTCTCTGCTCGCTTCCATCATTAGGGGCCATGAGTGAACATAAAGAGCCTTAAAAGCTCTTGCGATCCTCAACAACGTGAGGGGAAGTTCATTTTCCTTATGCAAGTGAAGCTACAGGAAGGGAAGGAGACAGACAGCAAAAACTCAGGGGATCTCCTGCATCCCAGCCCAGATCCCCTCCTTGGGCTGCAGCAATGGTACTGCCGGGGTGACCGGCAGCACGGACAGGGTCCAGCCATGTTGGACATTGCACCTGTGGGATTAACAGTCCCTGACACTGAGACCTTTGAGACAAGACCACGGGCTCAGGCTCCTGAAACCTTCTTGGGACTGTCGCAGGCCCCCCCCCACCCTCGCTTTGCACAGCTTCTGAAAATTCTGCTAAGAGGAGCGTGGCTTTCCTTGAGACACGGCTCCTATCCTGGCTCCCGGCACAGAGCTCGTTACCCAAACCGCAACGAGGACAGAGAGTTATTTCACATCCTCCCGCGCCAAAACAACACGTCTCTCCCGGCGCACCCCAAAGGCCGCGGGTCGGCTCGCTCACTCTGAAGTCTGCCCACGACGCTGCTTTGAATTAGGCCCGAAGAATTCAGATCCAGCTCCTCCGACGCCACCCATTCTCCAGGCAGCGCTAATAAAAGCAAAATAAATGCCGGGGGGTGGGAGGGGAACCACTCAGACACTAACTCCGGGGTTAGTCACTTCTCCTCTGTGCCCACGCTGCCATTTTAGGGCATGCAGGAGTCTCCACAGGCTGCAGATGCAAACGCGCTGCGTTTCTCCACAGGAAAAGTTTTTCTGAGCCCTTTTCACGCTAATCCCGCTCTCCGGGAGCGAGACTGCGCCGTCTGCCAAGCCACGGCGCTCCCTCCACCGCCTCCCCGGCGGTGCCCTGGGTAGGAGGGCGAGGGAGGCTCCTCTCCAAGCCTGCAGCTCCGGGCAGCGAGCCAGACGAATTCCTGGGGTTCGGGGAGCCCGCAAGCAGCGGGGACGCTCCCGGAGGCGCGCAGCAACCCAGCAAGCCGGGTCTGCGTGAATCAAAGCTCAAAAAAACCTTCTTCCCTAAAGGAATTTCATCCACATTCTTGCATTTCTCTGCCTAGCAAAAGCTAGAAAACATTATTATTATTGTTGTTTTAAAGCCTTCTGGGGGAAGGAGGAAGAACAGCAAATCCCACACACGCAGCAATTTATGCTGGAGGCAACGCAGGGCTGGGGTTCGGTTCCCCAAACCGGGGGGACCGTCCTGCGGCAGCACCGTGACAAATGAGGTCATGCCGACGGCCCCCCCAAGCCAGTGTGGGGGCTGCAAAGCCACCACAGCCATCACAAGGACGAACCACCACCAGTATCTGTGCCACAGCTTCCCGAGAGTGACAGACCCCGGGGGCGACCCTCCCGGGATGTGGAAGGACCTGGTGGCATCCTGTGTCCCCTAGGCCCCCTGCCCAGGGGTCGAAGGATCCTGCGATGCCTTGAACCCCACGACTCCCTCCCGGGGTGGTGGGGAGGGATAGAAGGACCCTGAGACACCTCCCGCAACCTTCACAACACCCTTCCTGGAGTACACGTGACGCCCTACCCTCTGTGATGCCCTTCCTGGAGTATCCACAGGCCTTGCGATACCCTGTATCCTGCAACGCCCTTCCTGGGTCATACACGGACCCCGTGCCACCCCATCCTCTGTGACACCCTTCCCAGGGCACCCACGGACACTGCGATGCCCCATCCCCTGTGACACCCTTCCTGGTGCACGCACGGTCCCTGTGATGGTGGCTGACCTCCTGTCAAGCCCTTCCTGGGACATGTCTGGACCCTGTGACACCCTCCCTGGGGTGTCCACAGACCCCATCACACCCCACCTCCCTCACTGTTCTTCCTGGGGCACATGTGGTCCCCATGATTCCTCATTGCCAGCATCACCCTTCTTGGGACATGCAGGGTCCCTGTCACACCCTACGGCCTGCAAAGCCCTTTCCTGGGGTGTGCACAGACCTGACCACACCCTATCTCCTGCAACGCCCTTCCTGGGGCACACATGGACCCCACAACGCCCCATCCGCTGTGATGCCCTTTCTGGGCCTCACACAGACCCGTGACACCCTTACCAGGGCTCACAGGGACCCCGCGACACCCACCCTGGAGGCCTCCCCTGCTCTACCCCCAGAGGCGTCGGGCGAAGGCCGGCGGGACCCACTCACCGCTCGTCGGGCGCGCGGCCCTGCTGCAGGG